GCTCTCCGCGTGTCGGTCCAGCTCCTTTGTTTTTGCCTGGGGACAAATATATATTCAGAACCTTTGGGTGCCAGACACTGTGCTGGGTGCTGCGAACACGGCAGTGTCAGGCATGCAAGGTCCCTGCCCTGGTGGAGTCTCTGCTTTCAGAGGGAGGTGTTGGCGCTCTGCTTTCTTTGCCCTGGAAATTCGTTGAAGCCTCTTTTGCCGATGGCCCCTCTCCCCGTACTCTGTGGTATTGCAGGACTGTACCTTTTTTTATCCCTCTACTCTCTCTAAAGCAGCATCTCAGAAGGTGGAGGACCGCAGGCACATTTTGAACTTCTACTGCAGAAACTAGATTGTGACCTTCCAGAAAAACTGTCTTGTGTGAAGGCTAACCCAGAATGGCTGGGTGCTTAGATTCTGAAAAGGAAGCCACCACTGAGAGTTTCCAGTTTGGAACAGTAGAGATTGGCTTCTCAGGGTATCCAGCAGTCTTGAGATACAGATTTTTCACGTCATGGTTCTGTTTTTCATCAGCCTTGTTATGAGGACGTAGTCTTGCCTCTGATTGGGGCGAGACTCCTTAGTGATCTGATCAAGCCTTCTCTGTGGTGCAGAGTCAAAGCCTGGTTATTCATTCCCCCATGGAATAGCTATTAAAGAAATGAACTATTGCCTCAAATTTTGCAAAACCATGTTATGTTAGAAGCTCCGGAAATTAGTTTCTTAAAGCGAACTTCTCATCTTCATGGACTAGAAATTTTTCCGGTTTGTGAAGTCCAGAAGAAGCAGAGTGAACTCCTTTGGGTGTGCTTTTCTCTAGAATGGGGAATGGATCAGTATAGTTTGTGCTGTTTCTTAGAGTGGCTTTTGCTCTAACTAGAGCTGACCTGTTGTTCGTTAGCTTTCTCCTGAAGTAGCTGCTGGCATGCTCACCCCTGAGTTCACAGAGGCACAGTTGAGGCTGCACTTGGAAGGCCTGGGCTTGGGTGTAGGTGGTCTGTTGGAATCTCTAGATGGCTCTGCCTTCCAGCCTCTAGTGAATTAGGAGTGTATTTCAAACTACAGGACTCAGTGCGTTCATTAGGGTACGAAACCAGTTTCGTGGGCCACAGCCACTGTTAGGAAAACTAAGTGTAAAACAGTAGAAAATGTCAATAGATTTCACGTGGTGAGGGGTTTGTTTTTGTTTTCCTTTTTTGGCTGCACTGTGAGGCATGCGGGATCTTAGTGTCCCCAATCAGGGATCAAACGCATGCCCCCTGCAGTGGAAGCATGGAATCTTAACCATTGGACCACTGGGGAAGTCCCAAGGGTATTATTTTTGTGTATGGGGGAGATTGGGTCGTGAAATCGAATGCATTTTTTAATTGTGGGTCTTGGAGAAGCTTAAAAGACACTTTTCTAGGGACTTTTCCTGGTGGCGCAGTGGTTGGGAATCCGCCTGCCAATGCAGGGGACACGGGTTTGAGCCCTGGTCCGGGAAGATCCCACATGCCGCGGAGCAACTAAGCCCGTGAGCCACAACTACTGAGCCTACGGGCCACAACTACTGAAACCCGCACACCTAGAGCCCGTGCTCTGCAATGAGAGAAGCCACCGCAATGAGAAGCCCGCACACCGCAACTAAGAGTAGCCCCCCGCTCGCCGCAACTAGAGAAAGCCTGCGTGCAGCAACGAAGACCCAATGCAGCCAGAAATAAATATACAGTGGAGAAAAGACAGCCTCTTCAATAAGTGGTGCTGGGAAAACTGGACAGCTACATGTAAAAGAATGAAATTAGAACACTCCCTAACACTGTACACAAAAATAAACTCAAAATGGATTAAAGACCTAAATGTAAGACCAGACACCATGAAACTCTTAGAGGAAAACATAGGCAGAACATTCTATGACATAAATCATAGCAAGATCCTTTTTGACCCACCTCCTAGAGAAATGGAAATAAAAACAAAAATAAACAAATGGGACCTAATGAAACTTAAAAGCTTTTGCACGGCAAAGGAAACCATAAACAAGACGAAAAGACAATCGTCAGAATGGGAGAAAATATTTGCAAATGAAGCAACTGACAAAGGATTAATCTCCAAAACATACAAGCAACTCATGCAGCTCAATATCAAAAAAACAAACAACCCAATCCAAAAATGGGCAGAAGACCTAAATAGACATTTCTCCAAAGAAGATATACAGATTGCCTACAAACACATGAAAGAATGCTCAACATCATTAATCATTAGAGAAATGCAAATCAAAACTGCAATGAGATATCATCTCACACCGGTCAGAATGGCCATCATCAAAAAATCTATAAACAGGGGCTTCCCTGGTGGCGCAGTGGTTGAGAGTCCGCCTGCCAATGCAGGGGACACAGGTTCGTGCCCCGGGCCGGGAAGATCCCACATGCCGCGGAGCCTGCGTGTCCGGAGCCTGTGCTCCGCCACGGGAGAGGCCACAACAGTGAGAGGCCCACGTACCGCAAAAAAAAAAAAAAAAAAAAAAAAATCTACAAACAATAAATGCTGGAGAAAAGGGAACCCTCTTGCACTGTTGGTGGGAATGTCAATTGATACAGCCATTATGGAGAACAGTATGAAGGTTCCTTAAAAAACTAAAAATAGAACTACCATATGACCCAGCAATCCCACTCCTGGGCATATACCCTGAGAAAACCATAATTCAAAAAGAGTCATGTACCAGAATGTTCATTGCGGCTCTATTTACAATAGCCAGGACATGGAAGCAACCTAAGTGTCCACTGACAGATGAATGGATAAGAAGATGTGGCACATATATACAACGGAATATTACTCAGCCATAAAAAAGAATGAAACTGAGTTATTTGTAGTGAGGTGGTTGGACCTAGAGACTGTCATACAGAGTGAAGTAAGTCAGAAAGAGAAAAACAAATACCGTATGCTAACACATATATATGGAATCTAAAAAAAAGTAAAAGAAAAAAAAATGGTCAGAAGAACCTAGGGGCAAGATGGGAATAAAGATGCAGACCTGCTAGAGAATGGACTTGAGGATACGGGGAGGAGGAAGGGTAAGCTGGGAGAAAGTGAGAGAGTGGCATGGACATATATACACTACCAAACGTAAAATAGATAGCTAGTGGGAAGCAGCCGCATAGCAGCAGGAGATCAGCTCGGTGCTTTGTGACCGCCTAGAGGGGTGGGATAGGGAGGGTGGGAGGGAGAGAGATGCAAGAGGGAAGAGACATGGGGACATATGTATACGTATAACTGACACACTTTGTTACAAAGCAGAAAGTAGCACACCATTGTAAAGCAGTTATACTCTAATAAAGATGTTAAAAAAAAAAAAGAAATAAAAATAAATAAATTTTTTTTTTTTTTAAACAAGACACTTTTCTAGACAAGGGTGGGGAAAAGCTGGATAAAAAAGGAAGAATCAGCTTAGAACCTAATGTAACTAACTAACCTGTGCTGAGACTTAATTGTGGTCTATTGTTTCTACCCTCTTCTATTGTCTTACATGATTTTTATGAAATATTTGGGGAGAGTAACTGTGCTCTGAACGCAGTAGATTCAGTTTCAGTGCCATTGTTGGCAAGTCGTGCACCCTGACTGCGCCTTTAAGCAGAACTGTTCCACTGTGCTGCCCAGTAGAAACGTAATATGAGCCACAAATGCAGTGTTACACTCCAGCAGCCCCTGTGAGCACAATTAAAATAATGTATTTTATTTACCAACTTATCATTTCAATGTTTAATCAATACAAAAAAGTATTAAAGAGATATGTTAACTTTTTTGGTACAAAACTGGTGTGTATTTTACACACACAGCCCATCTGAAAGTGGGCTAATCACATTTCAAGTGCTTATTACCCACACTCGGCTTGTGGCCACCACATCATACGGAGCAGTTCTCACTTACTGAGGCGCCTGCGCGAAGGATGGGAGCATCCAGGTACTGCCCCCCCAATCTGGCAACATGGGGCCCTTTGCTGTGGCCCCCAAGGGAATGGGACCAACACTTGTGAGCCCCTCCTAAGCCCCAGGCGGGATGGGGCGCACTTCAGTGACTGTGGGACTTCACCCTCACAGCAGCCAGTGCATGGGCGAGGGTGTCCCCATTTTATTGGTGGTGAACGCGGCCTGAATAGGTTCAGTAACTGTGCAAAGTGGCCTGAGTGCCGTGTGGTGGGATGGATCTGGGATTGGAGCCGGGCGTGCCTGATGCCAACGCCTGTTCTTCCATCGACCGCTGGCTGCCCGCACACTCAGAAGGGCCGTTGTAGGGCCTACCTACCCTGAGCCCCTGCTTTTAGAGGAGATGGAGTCTTGAGGAATGGGGAAGCGTTTTGTGGTGAGAACTGTGATGGGGAATTAAGTAACTTTGTTCTGATGATAAGAGCTCATTTAAAAATATGATTCAAAAAATGTTAAAGGGTATGAAGCAGAGAGAAAAGTCCCCATAACCCCATCCTCAGAGTTAAACATTGTTTCAGTTTGGGGGTGTGTCCTTCTAGATTTTTTTTCTCTGTACATACTAGTCTCTCCCCTTCCCCCTCCAGAATGGCACAAAACTGTTGTTCACGTTGCCTCTCTGTTGCCTCCCCCTCCCCGCTAGGGTCATGGCCATTGCCCTGTGTCGGGGCTGGACCCAGTGAGGGAGCTGAGGCCTAGAGAGATGGATTAACCAGGGGCCTGAGCCCCCCACCCCTCAGGATGGAAATGGCCAGGGCCTGGCCCACAGTCCTCCTCTTTCATTCCTAGCCAACCTCATCTCATCTCAGGCAGCCTTTTCTCTCTTGTTTTTTTGTGACAACTGTTCCTTTATCAGAGCTCTTCTCTGTGATCCACTATCCTTTCTAACCTTGGTAATCCTGACGGAGAATGGGAGCCAGATCCGTCCCCAGCAGTTGCTCATTTCCGACACTGGCTTCTCACCCCTTCCGTGGTACCTTTGTCCTTTTGCGTCTCTGGATTGTATTTATTTTTGGCGAGGAAAAGCCTTCTTAGTAATCCTTCCCTCCTTCTCTGTAGTTCCCAGTGACCTGACTGCAGAGGAGCGCCAGGAGCTGGAGAACATTCGGCGGAGGAAGCAGGAGCTGCTGGCTGACATCCAGGTAGGAGCTGGGCAGCCACCTCGACCAGGTGTCTTCTCGTGACACCTTCTGCCTTGGTCTCACCACAGTTCTGATAAAGTGCAGGTATTGATAACCAGCTTTGCTTATTAACAAGTGAGAGTGGAATCTCAGAGAGGAGGAGTGCTCTGTAAGCTGCACCCAGCTGGCCGGCTGTCAGGCTAGAGTGACAGGTCTCCTGACTGCGACTAGAACCCAGGCTTCAGGTTATGTAGACCCATGTCCACGTCCTGGTGGCCACTTTCTGGCAGGGCGATTCTAGATAGAGAATTTTGCCTCTCTGGTCTTCAGTTTCTTTTTCTGCAAAATAGGAATGAAAACACCTGTTGATAGGTTGCCATTAGTTGGATTATTTAGCCCCTGGGGAAGCCAATTCTTTTAGAATTCTCTGCTCTGTAACACATTTGAGAGCTCAGGGGCAGGGACGGGAGGGGGCACACCCTGTAACGCCAAGCTGCGAAGTGTATCGTCGGAAAGACTGGGCGTGCTCCAGTGTTGGTGTGAGTATACTTTGCTGTGGCCCTAGTTCTTTGATTCCTCCTTCACTGGTAAGTGCTGGGAAAGCTTCGCAGTTCTTCACTCAGAGCCCCCTCCAGCGTGACGGTCGTCCACTCTTGAGGGCCTGCTTAGATGGGGGAGGGGTGGAAGGCAGAGCTGGGATCAGCGTTCCCTTTGCCAACCACTTGGCGGCACTGTTGGCCCAGCACCAGCACTGCTGGCTGGGCAGCCTGGGCGTTGCGGGGAGTGGTTTATCCTGGGAATCTTCTGTCACCCGCTGTTCAGTGAGCTGCGGATGTGCTCCAACAGACTGTGTTAAGGCTGCCGTTTTCAGTGGAAAAATACATATTGTACATAGTGTGTATGATTATAAATTTCTGTCCTAGACTAAACTCCTTGTGGTCAGGAGGTTATCTTTTTCACCTTTGTATTTCCTAGAATGTTTACTATCTGGTAGGAACCCAAGAAATATTTGTTGAATAGATGAATTTTCCAAAAATGTTTAGATTTTGGGGGGGCGTCATCTTATTTAATTTCATTTTGCTTTATTTTAGTTTTTGGTTGGAGGGAGTTGTGCGAGATTTTAATTTGATCTGTATCTTCCTCCTGGTAATTCTGGGCTGTGTGTTTTGCAGAGGCTGAAGGATGAGATAGCAGAAGTAGCTAATGAAATTGAAAACCTGGGGTCCACAGAAGAGAGGTGAGTCTGTCCTCTTCCAGGTGGTTTTGTGGCTGTAGCATCGCCAAGTGCCAGCCTGCAATTGTACACACGTGGTGTATTTAAGAAGAAAGTGTGTTTTCTGCCCTCTTTGCCTAGCAAGCATGTATGTAACCATACTTTTTGCCTTTAGCACAGGGACTTCTAAATGTGAGGGCTTTTGACATTGTTGGAAAGGCTGAACTGGAGAACTTGGCAGGTCCCCCAAAGCCTTAAATTGCCCTTAAACTATCATGTGAACTATTTCTTCCCTTCTCTTGTCCACTGTGTACCTATTCTAGAGTTTCTGTTTTTCCTTTTTGGGTAAAGGAAAAGCTTAATGGATGATGCCAGTGCAGTTCCCGAAGGCTGGAGGCCCAGTTGTGTCTGGGTGTCGTCATAAGCTTGCTGGTGCCTCCCTAAGACTTAAGAGAAGAGAACGTAGAAATGAGATTATAGCACAAAGTGACAAGGGATGTCTGCAGGTTATTTTCTTCTTTTAACTACATGAAATCTTAGTTGCTTTGAGAGTTTAATTTTGAATGGGATTCCCAGACCATTTTCTAACTGCTTAATGTCGTAAATGGGCTATTTCTAATTCACTACATGTCTGTATTTTTCTAAGCCTGAGTCTCCCTGTCTGGCTTCATGAGACTGTTTGATTTTGTTATTTTAAACTTGTGTGGGCAGGGCCATCAGGGATTAGTGAAGCTGCATGTCCTGCAGAAATCGGCCAGCTCATCACATCCAGTCACAGCATTGTCAGTTCTGAATTATAGCTTTCTTACTTGCCATTAAAAAAAAATTGTAGCTTAAAAGAAATGGACAATTAGGAGTTCATCAGAATTTACAATTTCTGCTCTTATAAAATATACTCTTAGAAGAAATGAATAGGCAAACCACAGATGAGGAGAAAATACTTGCAATACCCAAATTTGAAAAAGGACCTGTATCCAGAATATCTATAGAAAGAACACATAAAACTTACTAATAAAAAAACAGCTTAGGGGCTTCCCTCACGGTCCAGTGGTTAAGACTCCGCGCTCCCAATGCAGGGGGCCCCGGTTCGATCCCTGGTCAGGGAACTAGATCCCGCATGCTGCAACTGAAAATCCCGCGTGCCGCAACTAAAAAAGGTCCCGCACGCCGCAACAAAGACCCCGCACGCGGCAACGAAGATCCTGTGTGCCACAACTAAGACCCAGCGCAGCCAAACAAACAAACATATAAATAAATCAGCTTAACTAAAAAATGGGCAAAAAACTTGAACACTTTTATACGTATAATAGACACATGAAAAATGCTCAGTATCATTAGTCATAAGGAGATGCTGCTTCACACCCACTAAGACGGCTGGCATTAAATAGACAGGTGGCGTCTCGAGTTGCCGAGAGCTGGTGAGAATAAGCAGTGTAAACACTGGGGAAAACGGGATGGCAGCTTCTCATAATGTTGACCATATATCCGTGCTGTGCCCAGCAATTCAGCTCCCAGGTATTTACTCAAGAGAAATGAGAGTGTGCCCACATGCACGAGGATATCTACAGCATTCTTATTTAAAATAGCTAAAAACTGGAATTAGCTTTAAATGTCTACCAGCAGATGAATGGACGAACAGATTGAGGCAATAACCTATTAACTTACATAGCATACGCTTCTAGGGTTTTGAAAATGCTCTAAAACTGGATTATAGTGATAGTTGCACAACTCAGTAAACTTACTAAACATCATTCAGATGTACACTCAAAATGGGTATGTTATATGATATGTAAACTATACCTCAATAAAGTTTTAAAAAATCATGTTAAAAAAAGAAACCCACTGCGGTAGAAGGAACAAATGAGCCTGGGACCAGGGTCAGGATTTCAGTGTCCTTCCGTAGTTAGACCTAAGTGTGCCTGTGCTTTCCTGGATGAATCTCCGAAATCCCTGCAAATCAGTGGACGCGTGTGGGGGTCATATCAGTCTTTCAGAAATTCTCGAATACCTGGAGTACTTAAATGGCTGTGGTGGTTGTTTTACAGGAAAAACATGCAGAGGAACAAACAGGTAGCCATGGGCAGGAAAAAATTCAACATGGATCCTAAAAAAGTAAGTGGAAAGGCAGCAGCCAGAGCCCATAGTCTGTAAGGTGGCGGTTTCCGCGGTGTCAGCTGGAACCCAGGGGCACTAAGACAGCTTACCTGCCTGTTTGTAGAGTGCAGCTCGTGTGAGCCCTGCTTCCTGCAGAACTTGGAATTACTTAGTAGATACTTCCTCTGTGTCCAGAGCACCCATACCCGTTCTTCCTGCGCCCTTGTCTCCTTTCCGAACCTTCCTGGGGTCTAAGGCACCATTGGCATCTTTGCTGTCTTTCCAGGGGATCCAATTCTTAATAGAGAATGATCTGCTGAAGAACACTTGCGAAGACATCGCCCAGTTCTTGTATAAAGGTGAAGGGCTCAACAAAACAGCCATCGGTGACTACCTGGGGGAGAGGTAAGGCCTCCGGAGACACCTGTGGTAGGTTGGTCAGCAGTTAGTTACCTAGAGAAACAAACTCCATGATGCTCTGAGCTCTGTCCCGAGGGGTGCTGGGAACAGCAGCCTGGGGGCGGAAGGACTCCTGTGTTCAGCTAGCAGACCGAGAGCTGCAGGTAGATGGCTGCCTCCCCGCCCCGGCCACGGAGCCGCAGCGCTCAGCGTGGGAGGCGGCCTGGCTGGGGGTCGGGATGACCTTGGGTTCTCAGCATCAGTGTCTGACTTCTGCTCTCCCCTCCACCCCCGTATCTTTTGTTTCTCTTGCTAGAGATGAGTTTAACATCCAGGTTCTTCATGCGTTTGTGGAGCTACATGAGTTCACTGATCTCAACCTCGTCCAGGCCTTACGGTGAGTGTGTTCACAGCTAGCAACTTTTGGAGCGGGAGGCGGGTCTTTGGTTATGCGTCTGCCCTGTGTGGCATTTTAATGAAATTTACCTTTGGCGGTTATTTGAGTATCTCAAAGCATCTTAAAGGAGAGTAGTCCGTTGGCCTATGATTGAAATGATTGGATGGTTAAAGGGAATTAAATTGAAAGCAAATTTTGCAAAACTGTTCCTCAGGTCTTTCATTTAACATTTTGGAAATGGATGTTTACACTTTGAATCTTTCCCAATTTCGCTTTAGAAAACCTTTAATTTCCTGCCCTGGAATAGGAAGTAGATAGTATGCCCTTCATTTTAGAAGGAAAAAACTCAACATTAATTTTTTTTGCTAAATCTATTACCTGTGTCTTTTGAGAAATTGTCATTTGGTATTTTCACTGCCGTTAGTGTAAATAATACCATCTTTTGTGTTGTCATTTAGATTGATGAAAAATAATCCAGAATTAAATCTGTTGACCACAGGTCTCTCTTTGACTTAAAGGGATTAGTCTTGAATGCTTTGATAGAAAATCTCTTTTCCTGCTATGTCATCTTTTTTTCTGGAAATTGAAGTTCTTTTAAAATGGGCATTATCTGTATTTCAGTCTTGTGTATCAGTCTGAGGAGGAGAACCATTCTTTTGAATAGGAAAATCTTAATTGTTTTCTAAATACATTCTCTCCGATCGAGAGAATGGTGATGTGGAGTAGTTAGTCTGCATCTGTTCAGAGTTACTTGACAGAAGGCTGAAGTCCCCCACGTCACCCTTTGCCGCAGAAATTATTCACAGAGAAACAAATTATCTCCCCAAGTCCCATAACTTGCCCTGTCTTCACCTCCTAGGCAGTTCCTGTGGAGCTTCCGGCTGCCGGGAGAGGCCCAGAAGATTGACCGGATGATGGAGGCGTTTGCCCAGCGCTACTGTCAGTGCAACCACGGGGTGTTCCAGTCCACAGGTGAGCGGGGTGGCGGCGAGGGGCGTCCTCTCCTGTGGTTGGCAGTGCCTGTCAGGTTCTTTTCTAGGTACTAGGTCATTTCTAAAACAAAAGGGCTTAGGTTCTTGCCTAAGAACATTGCTTTAAATGGTATTTATAATAGTAAAAGGTTGGAAACTATCCAAATTCTAACAATAAGGTAGTAAGAATGTAAGTTATGGTACCTCTGAATTATGAAGTATGCAACTATTAAAACTCATGTTTTTAAAAAGAGGCTTTATTGACATGGAAAAATGCTAATAAGATTAGCCAAAAAGGAGACTTCAAAACTATGTATCTGTTTTCATTGTAACTGTGTTACAGTCTGTATCCGTGAGATACATTGGTGATACCTTACACGTAGGCACATTTATGTGAGAAAGCAAAATAAGTTCTTACTAGGTGGTGAGATTGTAGGTAGTTTACATCTTCTTTTTTATACGTTGTGCTCCTTTGGTTTTCTATGGTGTATGTGTTCTTCTTTCACAATCTGAAGAAATAAACGTCTTTAAGTCTTGAATGCTTTATGGTCTTTCCCGTGCCTTGCTCCTTTCAGTGAGCAGTATATAACCTTTCAGTTAGAGCATACCCAAGCGCATGGATTTTGCCCATTCTTTTGAGAGCGCTGCTTTTTTTTTTTTTCCGGTATGTGGACCTCTCACTGTTGTGGCCTCTCCCGTTGCGGAGCACAGGCTCCGGACGCGCAGGCTTAGTGGCCATGGCTCACGGGCCTAGCCACTCCGCGGCATGTGGGATCTTCCCAGACCGGGGCACGAACCTGTTTACCCTGCATCGGCAGGCAGACTCCCAACCACTGCGCCACCAGGGAAGCCCTGAGAGCACTGCTTTTTATTCTCTATCTCATCCGGAGCTTCATGTTCTTTCGGGTGGGATGTTTCCGATCGGATTTTGCTTTTCTCTTTTAGACACGTGTTATGTCCTCTCATTTGCCATCATCATGTTGAACACCAGCCTGCATAACCCCAATGTCAAAGACAAGCCCACCGTGGAGAGGTTCATTGCCATGAATCGAGGCATCAACGACGGGGGAGACCTGCCCGAGGAGCTGCTCCGGGTGAGTTTCGCGCTGATTCAAGATAGTGGTCCCGGGCGGTGCTGATGGAGGGGACGGGAGGGACGTGGGATCATCCAGTGTCTACTTGGACCATACACATAATTATGTGAATTTCATTAAGAAATTGGTAGTGAGGCCCAGTGAGGAGTCAGTGGGGGAAAGTGGTTTATAAATCTGAAACTAAAGGCTCGAATGGAAGTCGGGCTGATCTCTTTTCTTTCTTAATTGTCCATTAGGCATCTTATTTCTCTTGTCTCTGTGAGCCCCTAAAGGGAGAGATGTTCTCCATGCCACCAGTGCGTGGCACACAGTGACACTTATTAAATGAATGGTGGGAAAGGGCGGGAGGAGAGGTATTTCTCGGATCAGAGACATGCAGTGTCATCTTTTATCCCAGAATCTGTACGAGAGCATAAAAAACGAACCCTTTAAAATCCCAGAAGATGATGGGAATGACCTTACTCACACTTTCTTCAACCCAGACCGAGAAGGCTGGCTATTGAAGCTCGGTAAGTGATGCCATCTGGGTTAGGGCTTCTAACGCAGAAACTTAGAAAGAACGTGTGTGTGCACGCTCGCCAACCCGAGCCTGCACTGTGGGGAAAAGGGGGTTGGTGCAGGAGGCGCTAAGGAGAGTCTTTGGTATGAATTCGTACTGTTCTAACAAGATCGCCTCCAGAAAGGAAGGAATGCACGGCTAGTGCCCCATGGGATGCACAGAGACTCCTGGGGATAGGCTTGCCCGCATAAATATTGCCTACATCTGTTTGCGCTCCACATTTCTTCTCTGGGGCAGTTCCCGGAGGACCTGGTCCTTTTCCCTTCCCGGACCACCGGGAGGGCGGCCAGCTGTGCCCTTCTCTCTACTTCCCATCACAAGTTTGTATCCGGTGCTCCCGCCTCCCCCACCCCGGTGCATCATCACTTCCTTCTGCATCTGGCTCCCCACAGGCAGCGTGCATGGCAAACCCAAGGCCCTGGCTGCAGCGCAATCCACGGCACTCTTACTCATTCTTGGGCGCTGGTTTTTTTTTCCCCCCTCCTTTCCAATACAAATCAGCCACATTAATGATGTTGTTCATTCAGAAAAATTAAAAATTATTCCTCTTCCCTCTGCCAAAAGTGAGCTTGTATTGCTGAGATCTGTGGTCATGCCTTGCCACGAAGGTGACAAAGTAACCAAAAGGAAGGTTTTTATACACATTCATATGCACATGTGATTATTTCATTAACCGTTTCAGAATGCAGAGAGAGCCCCCGGATGTAACGATGTTAATTTTTTGGCCACTGAGAGAGTACTTTCCCCTGTTTTTTTCTGCCTTGGCCTTTTGATGTGTGGGTTCCTGCATTATCAGGAGGTGTCATTAGAATGATCCTCCTCTACCATTTCGGCTCCTGGTCCCAGTGAGATTAGAAGTCCTTACGCTCCATGCCATTATTGACACATCTGGGAAGCGCTGAAATGAGATCTTCAATTTCTGACTAGTTCAGATGGCAGCAGGATTTGTATTCCCTTTTAAAAGCATATCCTAAGTCCTCGGGTTTATACATAATGACTTAGTTCATAAATTCTCCTTAAGCACCACCTCACTGGTTGGAGTTTTAAATGTCTCTTGAATTTGTCAACGTTTCATGTATCTTTAAGCCAGGAGAATCTTCGAAGTTAAGGCTCTAAAATTAGTCACCCCAGAGGCGGCCACTCTGCTCTGCATCTTTATTGCCAAGTGGCTAGAGTTAAAAGGGAACCTGCTGGAAAATTTAAAAGTGCATCCAGGTTTGGATTTGCTTCCCCCTCCAGCGAAATTTGTTTAAATGCTAATACTAAGTGTTAGCTTTGACAGCCCAGATAGTAAAATTAGAACAGTACGAAGATTATCTTGGTTCTTACACCAGGATGACATGTAAATTCATGAGGCATCCCATATTTTTTAAAAAGAAAAAAATTTAACTAAATGTGAGACTCGTTTTTAGGTCATTGCATTACTTTTTCCAGACCTCCACCAAACCCTCCTAAACTCTTCACATTGTGTTTTCATTGTAGCACACTTCAAATCACCCCTTCGTATGTGTGTGCCACAGAAGGCAGGCCTTCCAGCCGTCTGCAATTGTGTGTATATGTCTGTGTATGCATATAACCATAAGATTGTGTATTCTTGTGTATACACATATGTACATATGTATTCACAGGCTTGTGTGTGAGCATTTTTACACACACTTTAAAAAGAGGTAGCCATCCGAAGAGAGACATTTAATTTGCCCCAAAGTAATCTTCACTGTCTTTGCTCTGGATTCAGGATATACTAATAAACGTCAGCTTGGTGAGAGCTGATTTGTGGCATCTTTGAGGCCAGGATTTTGGTGGTGCCTCAGATCTTGTCTTTACCAGATGGGATGTGGCAGATGAGGCCAGCCCCTCATTCACACGCCGGACAGTGGCATTTGCCCTGTTACTGTCTTTATGTCCCGTCCCCACAAGGCAGACATGAATGACTAATACAGTGCACCTTAAGGTTAAGGAGTCGGGTTTAATTTCTTTGTTTTAATTTTCTTTTCTCCCTCATTTGTATGTTTCCATGATTTTGGCTCTCCTTTTCCTTGCCCCAAACTCCAGGAGGTATGTAATCCCCTCAACCTGCTCGCTCGCTCTGCCCAGGCCACTGTAATCGCTGCAGCGTTTTCTTATTTTGTTATTTTTGATTATTTTGTTTTAAATTGCTGGTGGTAGTGTTAATGCTGCTTCTAACTTACCGTACAGTCCCTAGGGAACTGGTCAGGATTGGGGGTGCGGAGTGATTTTCATGTTTCCCTTGGAGGGGTAGTGCATAGTACATCCAACAGCTGGGCACACAGATGTGGGACAATTTGAACTTTCCTGAGTGCAGTAGTGCAAGAAAACACACTAAGAGTGGATTTGTAAACGCAGACAAAGTATTCACTGAATTGTCTCTCGGAATTATTGGCCAGGCGTATGCTATATTACTGACTCAAATTGACACTCAGGAACTTCAGAGATTTCTGAAGTGGAGGAGAGGAGGAGGTTGTGATTCCCGCAGCCGTGTGCTCACGCACACGTGCCGTGACCAGAGAAGCAAAGTAGGAAAAGAAGTAAATTAGACAACATAGGACATTTGCCTTTGCATGAAAAAGGGAAATGGTGTTTCTTAAACTCAGAATGAGGCCAGGTAAAGTTAAAAAAGATAAAACCCCCAAATCCCTTCTTGAAGTCCTTCCGTTTAATCTCCTGTGTTTTAGGGGAGGGCATTACAACCTCGGCTCTGTTTTTTATGTTTTGTTTTGTTTTTCTCCCTCCTCTTTTTCAATGAGTCATCGTTCAAACCCCCAAATTGGCCTCATAGTTATGTCGTTGGTATCTGCTCTCCACTTGCTGATTCAGGGAAACATGTTTTCTAGATGAGGAAGTCCTCAGGTGTCTGCTTCAGCCTCACTTGAGCAGAGCCTCAAGGGAAAGAACGGCCCCAACACTGACATTTATGAAACGTTTCCGGGCCTTGTCAGGTGGTTACCACCCAGCTCCGGGGGAGCCAGCGTCTGGCCTTTACATCTACGGAGTAGAGGCCCGCAGGCTGGGAGGTGGTCCTGTGAGTTCCTCAGGGACTGTCCTAGGTGCGCGCATCGGTCTGTCTGCTTGTTTCATGTCTGTTTCCCTTTCAACATGAAATGTGTCCCTGGGACCGCGTGGTGCTTCATGGTAGGGGTCTCGTTAATGCAGCAGGTTGTCGGGAAATGAAATAGCCACGCTTTCATCACCAGGGAGAGGATTTGTCCGGCTTTGCTTTCTGTCCTAGATTTCCTCCCATCTTCTTCCTTGGGACATCTGACCCCTCTTCCACGACCTCCTGAGCCCCAGGTGCCCCGGGGTGGTCCTGTGAGGGGAGCGCACGGCAGTGGGCATGGGTTGAGGTGTCCTGTGTGCTGAGCCCCGTGTGGGGGTGAAGGCCCAAAAGGCAGAAGAGCTGCTTCCTCGGGTTCTGAAAGGGGGAAGGGGGTTTCCTTTTTATAACAAATAGGCTCCAGTTCTAAGTATATTCCTTGTGTTCTTTCTCCTCCTGATTTATTTCGGTTCTGCCCAGCCTTTCCCATTTCCTCACGCATGTCGTATTTCCATCCATGGTTCTCTTGGTTCATGCCCTAGGGCCTTAGGGGCCAGAGGCACGTGCTCACAGAAGCTGACAGTTGCTGTGGGCAGAGAGTCGAGCCGGTCTTCGCTTTGACAGCAGCAGGGGTGCGGCTGGGGGCGTAGCGCGTGCTGGCTCAGGACCAAACTCCTTCCGTGAGGTGGTGCCATTGGGAACCTCGGCAATTCATGATGAGCTGCTTAACCTCTCAGAGTTCGGGCATCCGAGCAGAGCCGTGCAAGGGGCCCGAAAGTCCAGCTGTCCTTAAAACTGCTACCGGGACCGACGCTGGACACTTCATTTCCGTGACAGGATTTGCGTTGCTCCAGCAGTCGGATCCTTTGAGGAAACCTGGCGTGATCACACAGCCACGTCCTGGCAGCTGGAGATACTCCCTCTAAACCCTGTGCTCAGCTGTTTGTGGTGAGGGGCAAGCAAGGAAGCGTGACTGGGGTCACTAAATTTACACCCTGTGGTCCTTGTTCTTTATGAGGATTGGAGAAGTGATGTTCTCTGTAGGTTAAGTCAGCAAAAGAGCATATCCTGTCCAGGGCAGTAAGAAGTGTTTATGAAATGCTGTGTGTATCTCACCACATGAAGGCCTTTCATATGGTTCATGTTCAGAAAGCTTTCCCTGGACCCGGTGTAAGTCGAGGAGAAGAAGGGCTTTGCTCATGGTCAGGTTGAGAGCAGGATGTGCCTTCACTCACCGAGGCCATAGTGAAGTTTCTCTTCCTTTGTATCATCTTGGGATAACTTCATGACCCTGGTGTTTCTTCTTATTGAGAAATATTGAGAAGGACTAAGGGAACCTTCAACAGCTCACAGCCACCCGTGAGAGCTCACTTGGCCTGTGGCCTCCTCCTCCAGTTATTTTTGTTTCAAGATTCCGGTGAGAAGTCCAGAATTGAATAGGGACCTCTGCTTACCAGTGGATTCTTCCCTGATCCAGGGATACTGCTTTGTCCCACCCAGGACTCTGGGGGAATTTAGGACACTGGCCCAGAAACCTAAAAAGCCAGTGTAGAAACGCACTACAGTCAGGAAGGTGGGGTAGAAGGTGAAACCGAAGGAACTTGGGTTCCATGTTCCAGGAAAACTGGATTTGATTGTGAGGGGATTAAAATGTCTTACTTCCTGGTTCCTCCTCCTGTCCTGTTCTGATAAAACCCTGGGCTGGTGGACCAGCAGTGTAGCGTAGCCAGGGGGCTGGCCCTCTCCCCTCCTCTTGTGTTCGCCCATTTCCACCGCATCCATAGGCTTCTGCTGACGCTTCTCTGGTCCATCACCGTCCCAGCTCCCTCCCCAGCCCGTGCTCTCATCTGCTGTTCTGATGTCATCTCCAGGGGGCCACCCAACTTGCTTGCTCTGCTTGTACCCACAGACTTTCACGCTGTGAAAGGTGCTTCTGTTTTGGCTCTGTGTCTCGTTACTGATGTAAATCTGCCATGATCTCAGTGTCTTCCTGGCGCCCTGCCCCCGCTTCCTCGTCCTGCACCCTCTCTGGGGGCAGAGCTTCGAGCCCCCCGGAGCCTGCGCTGGCTGGTTGACTCCTATCCAACACGCATCTCTCTTTGCTCTGCAGGTGGCAGGGTAAAGACTTGGAAAAGACGCTGGTTCATTCTGACTGACAACTGCCTTTACTACTTTGAATACACGACGGTGAGCGCCTGCTGGTCAGCTGGGATGGGGGTGGACCAGGCCTGTGTTTAAACAGCTCTAATGAGACAGGGTTGAAGGACACAGGGGGAGACAGTCAGATTTGTCCTGCTGCATCTTTGGGGCAGGAGGAGAGTTTATGTGAAGTGGAAGGGCTAAGACGCATCTCAAGAGGGGTGCCCGGGTGTGGTGTGGGGTGTCTGGCCACAGGAGCCGTAGCTCAGAGCTGACATCCACTTCTCCATTGGGACACCATGTGCCCGGCCAGGAGACAGTGGCAGACAACATCATACACGGCATTAGAAATGGGTTGTAGAGCCGAGCTAGAAAGAATGAACTTGGACCCATGGCCAAGAGAGAGTTTGTGGCCCCATTGAAAGGGAAACCAAAGTAATTGTGATTCTGTGGCAGCGGAAATACTGAAGCACCTGACTTAGAAGAAACGGCCAAGGGGCAAAATATGTCATAGAGGAAAAGAAGGTGAAACGAAATGGGAGATTACCTGGAGTTTTAAGAAATTGACGTTTACTTAAACTGAAAGTTTTGTTGGTTTTTATTTAGTGGGAATGGAATTACAATACACACAATACTATGAGAATAAAGATTGTACAGAGTCTGTGAGAATAAAGATTGTACAGTAAAACCTTTTCTGAAGCTCCCTCTAGGAGCCCCCAGGAGGCCCAGCAGGTTGGTAGCCTCAGGTTGGATCCCACTCAGACGGGCTCCCCACAGCTGGAGGCCCTCGTTTCTGCCCTGTTTCCTGGTCATCGAAAGAGCAAACCATATACCACTGGCAGCACTGGAATGTGTCTTAAATAAATCAGGGCAGTTGAGATCCTACTGAGAAAACGAAGGTTTAGAAGTATCTTTTATAATAAAGGTAGAGCAAGATGGGATGAGAGTCCTGGCAGTGTTTGTGTGAAGCTTGGTAGGAGCCAGGATGCAGGTCCGTGCCTGGCCCTTTGCAGCTTGGGGGTGAAGCGGGTTTCCACTGTGTTCCGCACTGTGGTTCTTCAGCTTGCAGACGTCGTGCGGATGTGGCTTCTCACTTGGGGACTGAGAGTCATGACAGTGTCAGCTCATAATTCAGTCACTCAGCAATTTCCAAGGGAATGCTGACCAGGATTTTGTGTGTTATGGGGGCTAAACTCATGCCTCGTTAAGTTCTGCAACTGGCTTTGCTTTTCTGTTATTAAAATCCTTTCAATTATGAGAGTACTGTATTTCAAATACCCAAAACAGTACAAAGATAGATTTTTTTTTCACCCCCCAAAGTACCACTGTGAACAGCTTGGTAAATTTCTTTCTGTTTTGCCCCTGTCCCCCCACCCCATGTATTAACTGTTTTTTCTAGACTGGTGACATCTTTAAAATCTTGTTTAAATCTTTTTCACTGGTCTCTGGGTTGATATGAACCATGTGCAGGGCATCTAAACAATGCACCCCTGAGTCCCGGGACAGTCTCAGTGGTAATGCAGTGAGATTCTAGAATCTTGTGGTTCTTCATGATGCCGACCATGGTGGCGTTACCTGAATTCAGTCTAGCAGCACACCAGCATTTTATCAGACAGTGGGAATCCAGAGAAAACGTTTCTGAAGATGCTGAGGGGGGAGCCTCAGGGTTAAGATGGTAGGTGGAGATAACCACACAGAAATTACCTGACAAAGAGGAAAAATCTAGTAGAAAGAAGTGGGGACATAGCAGCCGGATAAGGAAAGGGCAGAACTCATTCACTGCGCTTCACAGTAGGCAGCAGGGGCCGCGGCGCAGCCTGGAGCCAGCAGAAGGCCCCTTGCTGCGTGGCCAGGCACAACCAGCCCCAGACCTCCCCGTGCACAAGTCTGGGAGAAGTAAACCGAGTAGGAGTTCTTCCCTCCTCCCCCTTTGGATGGAGGAGTGGTGAGGTCTGCTGCAGGGTAGAAACCGGGAACGAGAAAAATGGAAAAACAGGACTCACTTTCTGCGATATCATTGAAAGCTCTGGGTGTGTGTTCATGTAGAAGACTGTCTGTGGGGGGCGTGCGGTGAGCATCAGCTCCAAGAGATGCCGGACACCAGCACCCCAGGGGAGAGTTGGGGCTCGGGGTGTCTGAGGGGGGCGCTCCCTCCACTCGCTTCTCTCCTGAGACTCTGGAAGTGGACCAGAACACCAATAGCTGGCTCTCCAGTAGTTTCAGACTTAAATGAGAACCAAAACTATATATTAAGAATATGACTATATAATTGTAGAATTATAACTTACTTATTAACACATAAGTTAAAACTTTAAGGAATGATTAGCTAGAAATGTAATCACTATCCTAGAAGAAAGGCTTGAGACAGTCATAGAGATTGTGTCTGAAAGACAAGCATTAAAACAGTTAAGGGTAGGGCTTCCCTGGTGGCGCAGTGGTTGAGAGTCCGCCTGCCGATGCAGGGGACATGGGTTCGTGCCCCGGTCTGGGAGGATCCCACATGCCGCGGAGTGGCTGGGCCTGTGCGTCCGGAGCCTGTGCTCTGCAGCGGGAGAGGCCACAACAGTGAGAGGCCTGCGTACCGCAAAAAAAAAAACAAAAACGAGGGCCAGCGAACAGGTGCGGAGGACAGATGAGGATGATCCCAATACCAGAATGACTGGGACCTGCAAATGCAAAGACAAGTTATGAGATTATTTCCCTAAAAAGGAGAAACAAACCTGATCTGCAAATCAAAAGAGTGCATATGGTAGTTTAGGAACATCTGTCCTAGGAAGCTTGGTGCCAAGGCATAGCCCGGTTAAACTGTTGAACTTGGAACAAAGTCTTTGGCCATTGGTTGTCTGGACATCAGGGAGAAGAGGTGAAGGCTGATGGCCCAGCAGGTGTGGGGGTGGCCTTTGCTGAGATGGGAAGTCCTGGAGGAGGGCCAGTGGGTGTGAGGGGACGCAGGGCTCTGTTCTGGACAGGAGTTTAGATGCTTTTGGGTCCAGGTGGAGTTGCAGTGTCTCTTTGAGGATCCTACAGTCTGGAGGGGGAGGTGAGGCTGGAGATAGTGAGAAGGTGGTGACACACGACACGACTATAGTCCAGGCGTTGCGGGCACAGAACAGGGGCACCTCGGGCGAGACTTGAGCTTCCTAGGGTTGCTGACACTGGAACTGAGGTTTGAAGGATGAGTAGGCGGGCCAGACAAAGAAGCAGGATAATTTTTGTGTGAAAGGGCCTTACATGTTCCCCACTGGAGGGCCACCCACAGCTCTTGTCACACTCACTCTTTCAGAACGTCTGTGGAAGCTCCTCCTCCAAAGGCTTTTCGGTCTTAGGGATTCATATGTGGTATGTTGACAACACCCACACATTTCTTGACCCTATTCTTGTTTTTAAAGCTGCTCTGTGGGACTTCATGTCGTGGAGGAGTCACAGCAGCTGGGCTGAGTTGCCGTGAGGAAGGTAACAGGACATGCGTTCATAAACTGAGCAGTTAGGTCTTCTCTCTCCAATTCTTCTGCAGGATAAGGAGCCCCGTGGAATTATCCCATTAGAGAACCTGAGTATCCGGGAGGTGGAAGACTCCAAAAAACCAGTGAGTATTTTTTGGTGAGATGTTTTGGGGGGACAGAAGGGATGGGCATAGCAGCTGTTCGATACAGGAAGAAGTTGCAGAGGTTTACAGTTGACCCTTGGACAACAAAGTTGGGGCTGTGTGGGTGCCCTGACACGTGGACTGTTCTCAGTGGTAACTCCTATGGTAGAGTGCCGTCTGTGCTTGGCTAAGTCCGCGGCTGCTGAGGCACTGCTGTACGGACGGAGGCCGACTGTCGGTCATACGAGGATGCTTAATTGCGCGGAAGGCCAGCACCACCCCCACCCCCGCCTTACTCAGGGGTCAGCTGTACTTGAGAAAAACCCCGAAAGTACTCATATGATTTAATTTAAGTTAGCCTAACTTTTAAAATTATCTTTACAGTTCAAGCCAAAGGTGAGACTAAATAACCTCTTTCATTCTGTCCATCAGCTTTAGTGTCATTTATTGAATATCACATGAGGTATAGAATTGTCCTTCCTTAAAAGGCATCAAGCTCTCACGATTGGACCACTTATTTTATGATCTTCAGATCGCTTATAAATATTTTTCCTCTGTTTTGGAATATCGTATTGCTGGCTTGGCTTTAAAAGGCATTAAGTTACCTGCAGTTCGCTCCATATCTTCTATATATTAGGAGTAGAGCTAATGTGTATCATCTGCTCGATATCTTTGCTAATAAAACCTATTTATATACAATCTACATTCTCCAGAATTCCACTTCTAGGCTCCTCTTTTCCAAAGGAAAACATATGTTGGCTATATTTTATGAAGGTGAGAATAAAGAAATAAATTAACTTTTTTTTTTTTTGGAAATAAAAATTTACTTTTTGGGAACTTAACTTTTTTCTTGGTCAGCAGCTTTCTTAGATCTTTGTCACTCTCTCCCTCTCTTTCTTAATTCTCAGAACTGCTTTGAGCTTTACATCCCCGACAATAAAGACCAAGTGATTAAGGCCTGTAAGACAGAGGCTGACGGGCGAGTGGTGGAGGGGAACCACACGGTGTACCGCATCTCAGCCCCAACACCTGAGGAGAAGGAAGACTGGATCAAGTGCATCAAGTAGGTGGCAGGTGAAGCTGGCGACCTCGCCTCTCAGATAGTGACGCTCCAGCTGTCCCGTGGGCTGCCCATCCCGCCTCTGCGCCCTGTGTGCTGAATCGCTAGCGAGTAGTTTGACTGTGATTCCCCGGTGACCTTTCCCTGGGTGTCTGGCTTCTTGACCATGGAGCGTTTTTAAGAGTGCGCCTCACATCTAGGCTTCCCAAGTGCAGCTCATGGCTCCAAAGAGGGGACAGGTGGGCAGGCTTATAGGCATAGGTGCCACTGGCCAGACTGGCCTTTTCACGGCTTAGGAAGTGGGTTTCGTCTTCATGGTGGCAGCTCAGCGGGGATTGTAACCGTTCCCTTTTATAATTTCTTAGTCCTGTGAGGCACTGTTGTCCCATTTACAGATGGGCAGACTGAGGCCCATAGAGGGTAAGTAATGAATGCTTGTCACGTGGCCGTGATCCAGGGTTGCGAGGCAGAGCCTCATACTCCCTGCTGAGCTGTGAGGAAGTGGCGGTTCTGGGGTAAGGGAGGTGTACACAGATCCTGGGGTCCAGGGCTCCTCCTGGCCCTCGCTGCACCTGTTTCACGGGGGAGGTGTCCTGCCCCGGCAGCTCCTCCTCCCCACAGCTTCTGTGAACCCTGCCCCGCCCGCCATCACACCCACTGCCCATCACCACACCTGTCTTGCCCCTGGGAGTGCATCCTCGCTCTCCCCGCCAGCGCTGCGCCCATCAGACATGGCCCAGCCGTTTCCTTAGGGTGTCCCCATTACTGAGCCTTGAGGCTTCCCCTGGAGACTAGTGAGGCCGCACTGACCGGCGCCCAAGGCCCTGCGGGTCCTGCGTCGCCCCGAGTGACGGGCCTTCTCCCACCGGGGCCGCGGCCTGCTCCTGAGGGGCTGGGCACGCTCTAGTTTTTGTGGTGTTTTTGGCACCTCTACTAAAACAAGTGTAGTGTTTGGGCCAGGGTTAAATAGTGAATAAATGGCTGAAAGGGGGCCAGGTGATGTGGGGGAAGGAGCAGGTCGTTTATTCCCACACAAAGAGCCTCTGAAAGTTGTGCGGTTCAGATGGGCGGGACAGGAGAGCACCGGTTCAGAGTCAGGCCAGCCTGTGCAGAGTTCCCGCTCTGACTCTTGCTCACCACACAGCAGTGAGAGGTGGGGCTCCCTGAGGACTCCCGAGGACGGTGCCGCCCCCTTCTGGATGATGGTGTTAAGGCACAAGGCCGTTCTGAGGGTGAGACAGATGGTGCAGCGCCGTGCTCAGCACGCCGCCTGGACTCAGGTAGCCCCGGACGATGACGGCTGTCGGAAGTGTGGTGTCATCCGAGGCCGTCCCACGTGCCGTGGAGCCCATGAGGCACCGCAGCGTTTCTGGCGTCACCACCAATAAGGAGGCTCAGGGGTCCTCTGTGCTGGACGCACCCTGAGGTCTGTGTGGAGGAGTAGCGGCGCCTTGGGGACCTGTGGCCACGGAGAGCTCCTTACCCATGTCCCCGTACCCTTTTTTTTACCACATGTTTTTTAAAAAATACTTGACTCTTTAATCCTTATGAAATGTATTTTTTGCATGTGGTTTGAAGTAAAGGATGTAACCTTATTTTCTCAAGTGAGTGGCCGATTGTCCTGATACCGTTTATTAATCCATTTTGTCCAGTCTGAAGCGCCCTCTAGTGTGGACCAACTTCCTGTGTGTGCACGGTGACCGTGTCTCTGTGTCTCTGGGTCCGTGTGCTGTCCTGCATGATCGTTAGGGCATCAGAGCGTGTGTTGACAGGGGATTGTGTGTAGCCTCCCCCAACTCGTTGTTCTTTCAAAAAGGCTCTGTCTGCAGGTGTACATTCTGCCTTTCATGTCATTGTACTTCGGTAGTCAGAGAACCCGAGCCCTCCTTACGGTCATGCTTGGAATGGTTCAGTCCCTCCATCGAGGTGAATGCAGAGCCTCCTCGGGGGTGGATCCCGGGGTCTGCCCGGAGCTGGCCTCATCTCCTTGTGGGAGTTGCAGACGCTGTTCCAGCTCCACGGCTCAGCGCCCTTAACCCTCCCCAGAGCCCTGGGAAGGTGGGTGCAGCAGGATGGTTGTCCCCAGGTGACAGATGAGGACACAGGCACAGCGAGGTGAATTCACTCGTCCCGAACCACAGACCCGAGCCTTCTGACTCAGGGAGCCGTCCTCCTCCACGTGCGGCACTCAGCTCCAGCCGCCCTTGGCTCTGACGCTCTCCCAGTGAAAATATTGGGGCAGAGGCACCAGAGGAGGGACCTGATCGGATGGAAGTTCTTCACGATGTTGCTGGAAAGGTTTTGCAGAAGGTCAAGTTGCAGGCACATTTTCTCTCATCAGTGCTCTTGCCAGGAGTTTCCAGCTACCTCGGTCCTGGTGCTCTGGGCACGTGGTCACACAGAATCGCGTGTCTCTGCAGACAGACCTGCAGCGCAGCGACGGTGGCCACTGAGGGAGAGCTTCTGCTGCCCGGTGTCGTCTCCGCTCTGCCTTCTCAGGGCTGGGGCGGAGTGTCTCCAGGGACCATGTGAGGATGGCCGTGAGAAGCACATGTATGTGCAAGGCCGGGGCAGAGCTTCCAGCCCCAAGCACTTCACTGTGTCCTAGCCCCCGTCACGTGGACTGGAGATGTCCCGCGGCGTCCCTGGGGGCTTGGCCCACCCAGGAAGCGGAGGTGGACTCACCCTAGTGCTCTGAAGGTGGAAGCAGGATTCCCTCCCGAGCACTCCGAGTGGTCAGATGCTGCATGGCAGGGTCCCTCAGGATGCGTTCCGGGCCCTGTCCAGCTCCTGCCTCCCCCGGAGCTGAGTTGCTGTTTCGCACGGACACATCCTCTCTGTGAACGGGGCCCGGTCAGCCCGCAGGAGCCGTCATGCACCTGGTTAAGTGCGGTCCACGGTCATGTGGGCTTGTGACTGGCCCAGAAGCTAGTTGGCACCTGGAATACTACTTCTCAGGAAAAGCAAATGAAACTTCAAAACGTGGATCACACCTTGCTTGAAAGTGGAGAATGACAAATACAGAGGGACAGCGGATGGCTGAGGCCTGCCATCACCACCTGTGCTGGTGTCTCTGGGGCCAGTGCAAGGGCTGCTTGGGCTCCCTCCCCACCAAGCTGTGGACACAGAGCAGGCTGCTGGCCGCTTGCTTGGGCCCCGACTGCCCAGTGATGGGTCTTGGCTGTCGAGCTGATGCTCTTGGGGACTCAGAAGTTGCTCGGTACAGAGGATGGCCGCCAATCAGATGCACCACGTGGCAGGGGACACACGGGGTTGTGTGATGGTCACTGTTCCAGACAAATGCCACTGTCATGGCGGAACTAAAGCACTGCGCTTGTTTTGCTGCGTTAGAGCACAGCTGTGAGGGTGTAGAGGATTCCTAAACTTAAATTTATTACTTGGTTGAAACAGGCAATAAGCACCCCACAGTGACCTTGTCGCCTGTACCACGTGTCTCTCTCAAAACTTGTCTTTTACGCCACATGTGGACACAGTGAAGGTTGATGCCGTGACGTGGCCTTTAAAGGGATGGTCGAGCAGGGAGGGGGTCTGGGGCACGGCTGCTGCTAGGAAGCCCCTGCCTGGGGTCGTGTCTCCTGGTCCTGTTCCTCAGTCTCCTCTGCTTTCTCCCCTTTTCTGTGTTGCAGGGCAGCCATCAGCAGGGACCCTTTCTACGAGATGCTAGCTGCACGGAAGAAGAAGGTCTCTTCCACGAAAAGACACTGAGTCTACGCAGCCAGCAGGGCTGGTGTGCCCGGCGAGTGAGGCCCAGCGAGTGAGGCCCGGTGCAGCCTCCCTGCCTCCCGTGCAGTGGGAGCGTCTTGCCAGGCATTGCCCTGAGTTCCTAGAGACTAGCTTCAGCTTTTGCTAACTTTTTTAAGTGGGAGAAGGGTAGGCAGTTACCCTTGGAGAAGGGGGCCTGATGCCTTCACACTTGGGTTTTGAGCCTTTCTCTCTAAAAAGAACAGAGCTCCTGTCGGCCACGCTGCCTCCCCGCAAGTCTCCACTCAACAGGTCTGATAGCAGAGCTTGGAGCCGACCATTACCTCTCGGTTATTCCCTGGGAAGAAGCCTTCAACCCTGCACCATAAATACGTGTACCCATATCTTATTTTATGTTAAGAAAAAAAGTGGAATGGAAGAGAAGCCACATGCTATAAAGATATATTTTTGTTTTTTAAAGAAAGAGAAAGAGAAGGTAGAGCTGTCCAGGCATTCTGCCTGTCTGCTTCGGGAAGCTTCTCCCGAGAGAAGAAGCTCCCTGGGCCGCCGCTGTGCATGTCAGCCCGGGCAGGGGCAGGGGCCAGGTGGGCCCCCTCCTCACGCTTCTGGGGCCTCGTCTGGGCGAGAGAGGGGGTGGCGAGAGGGTGGAGGGGGCCGCGCGGCGAGGACAGACTCGGGGCCTGCAGGGCAGCGCCGGCCACTCCAGCTGATGCTTTTCCTTCCAGGTGCCTGGAGAGCACTGCGGGGAGAAGGGAGCCCGCCCCCCGCCTGCGCTGTTCCTTCTCTTTCAGGACTCGTTCTTGTCGGGCTTTAAGATAGTCAGCATCTTTCCTTGAGCTACATACCTAATAACCAAAACTGTGAGGAAGGTAGTCCCATCAGAGATTCTGGGATAACCTGTTTCTTATTTGGTTTTTCTTCCTCCTGCCCCTGAACTCCATTCCTCGTTTTAGAGGAAGGAGCAGGTCTGACCCGATCACCTTAGGGCTTCAGCCTTTTCTGCCTCCGAACTGGCCTTCACCTGGACTCGCCGTGCGTGTGGCGCTGGCCCTTGGGGAGGAGCGGGCCTTCATCTGCGCGGCAGGGGCGGGTGGGGGGAGCCGGAGGGTGAGTGGTCGGCCTCCCGCTGGAGTCGGCCTTGCCCTCCTAACGCGTGGCCTGAAGGAGCCGTGGCCGCCGCTCTCCTGCTGTTCTCTCAGGGACTCTCGTCCGGGGCCCGGCGCCCGGTCCAGGCAGAGCAGGGCTGGCCGGGCCATTGCAGTGCCAGTGTGACCCTGGCTCCTCTGACACCTTCCGGGCGGGCTCACATCTCTGGAAATAGCTTTTGTAAAGGGGAGTGGTGGGGTCACTTTCTGGGGTCCCCCCTTCATGTAGGTCCTACCTGGAGTGGCTTCAGGCGTTTTAATGCCAGAGCTCGTGAAGGTGGCAGAAGAGGGTCCAGGCTGGGAACCTGAAATTTCTGGGCGGGAGAACCAGGGGGTCTGGGTCGGTGCTGGAGCCCCTCTGGCTGTCTGAGTCCCTGGCCCTGGTTCTCACGAATATTACCTAGACAGAGAGGCACCTGGATCAGTATTAGTCTATTTATCAGAGGTGTAAATAATCCATGTATAGTTTTTCTCCTTTTAGATTATTTTGTATTTGTTTTAAAAAAAAGTTTTGTCAAAATATAAAGAAATGACTGAAAGTTGTTGACAGGGTTTTTAAAAAAATTATAATTATTCCAATCGGTTTTTGTTTGTCTGTTTTTTTTGCATTGTAAACTAGCGCCAAGGAACTGCAGCAAATAAACTCCACATCTGCCCAAACCACTTTGTTGCCTGTGGCGTTGCTTCATGCCCACATGGGCCCTGAGAAGGAAGGTCGTGCTTGTCAGGTGCACTTCCGCGGGAGGATGTGTCACTTGAACCTCTCGTCTTAAGTCTAGTGATGATAAAGATCGGAAGTGGCGAGGATGGTTGTGTCTTCTGTTAAGGAGAGCGGAGCAAAAATGATCGTTAGCATAGTCATTCCCCCCCCCCCCCCCCCGCCCTTTTTGGAAGAAGAAACAAATGTCAGGCATCAACTTCAAATTAAGATCAAGAAATGGGCCTTCAGCCTTTATAATACATTCTTAGTATTATTTCATTTTCCAGATGTGCCTACATAACGCCAGGGAAGAGTCACAGTGAGGTAGAGCTCAAAAGTTGAGAAGACATTCAGCATAGCATCTCAGGGTAAGGAGATGGACAAGCCTTAGCCTGTCCCTTCGGCTGGTGGTTCATCAGAACATGCAATGGAGAGTTATTATGTGATCCAGCAATTCTATTCCAAGGTACATGCCCAAGAGAATTGAAAGCATGTCCACACAAAAACTTGCACACGACTGTTTATAGCAACATGATTCACAACAGCCAAAAGGTGGAAGCAATCAAGATGTTCATCAACTGATGAATGGATGAACAAACTTTCGTCTGTTCATACGAGGGAGTATCATGCGGCCGCAAAAAGGAATGAAGTACAGATTCGTGCTGTGACATGGCTGAACCCTGAAAACGTTATGCTAGGTGAAAGAAGCCTGACACAGAAACCCACAGTTTATATGATTCTTTTCATATGCAGAAAAGGCAAATCTATGGAGAGAGAAAGTAGATTGGTGGTAGTCAGAGGCTGGAGATGTTGGGGAGAATGGGGAGTGACTGCCCATGGGTACAGGGTTTCTTTTTTGGGGTGTTGAAAATATTTTAGAGTTAGTGGTGTTGGTTACACAGTGTTTTGAATGCGCTAAATCCCACTGAATTGTACACTTTAAAAGGGTGAATTTTATGATAAGTGAATTACATCTCAGTTTTAGAACAATAGCAGTGAACAAATGCCATCACTTCCCATGGTTTTACTGGTTCTCAAAGTGTGGTTCCCTGGTCAGCATCTTCAGCAACATCTGGGAATGGGTTAGGAATGCACATTCTCAGGCCCCCGCCACACTGACTGAATTAGAACCTCTTGTGCTGGGGCCTGACACAGTTTAACAAGTTCTCCAGGTGCTTCTGGTGCCCAGTAATGTTTGAGAACCACTGGCTTAAACAACCACCCTGATTCCTTCCATTACCAAACTGAGGTTTGGCCGCTCATCGTTTAAGAATCCAATGTTGAGAGACAAATGTTGGGTAAAAGGAAAGCTATTAGCTTTATTGAGGAAGCTGGCAATCCTGCAGAGAAGGTGGACTCATGTCCCAAAGAACCAATTCCCCCTTGTCGACTGGGGGCAAGAGCGTTTAAAGGGGAGTTTCAGGGGTTCACAGGCGGGGTTGGGGGGCCATATGCAGAACAGCACAGTCAGCTCTGACAGTAGTCTTGAGATTGCTCACGCAGAGGTCTGATCAGTGTCATCTTGATTCAGTTAATCTTCGGCTCCAGGGTCAGTTTGTTCCCATTTCCTTGAGGCCAGTTCTTGGAATTGTGCAGGATGGAGCAGCTTATGTCTCATGGCTACGCTCTGGTCGTCATGTAGTTAACTTCTTCCTCCTGGTCGGGGTTTCAATATCTGCAAAGCAGCTCAAAGGATATGGATCAGAATATTATCCATAGCCCTTAGGAGGAACTAAAGGTCCTTGATTTTGTTTAATGGTTGAACTATTATTATTTTGTCTTGTTTGACTATTTTCCTCTATTTCTGCATTTTCTCATTTCTCTGATTAAATTTATTCTTTGGCTAAAGTTCTTCCAGACAAGAGGCAGGTGGAGGACATGGGGAGGGTGGGTGTCTGTCCCAGGAAGGCCCCAAAAGGTCCTGTGCCGTTGCACTTCCTTCTCTTCATTGCTAGGCATACATACACACGCACACACACACACACACACACACACACACACACACACACACACACACATATCAGGCTTAGTGAGGTATAATTCTGTACCCTATAATTCACCCATTTGAAGTGTACAATTCAGTGAGTTGGTATATTTACAGAGTTGTTCAGCAATGAACACGATTTTAGAATATAATCGTCGTTCCCAAAACAAACCCTGTTGTACCCATTAGCATTCACTCATCTCCCCACAGCTCTAGGCAAACACTACTTTCAGCCTCTGTGGATTTGCCTATCCTGGACATTTCATAGAAGTGGAATCATACACTACGTAGTCCTTTGTGCCTGACTGCTCTTGATTAGCACAGTGTTTTCAAGATTCATCTGTGTTGTGGTTTGTGTCAGCACTTCATTCCCTTTTATAACTGAATAATACTCCATTTTGTGGATACACCATGTTTTTATCCATTCATCCATTGATGGGCATTGGGTCAGTTCCACTTCTTGGCTACTCTGGACAATGCAACCATGAACATTCATATGCAAGTTTGGTGAGCGTTGCTGGAGTTTTTGACAGTTCGTCCTATTGCATCTATGGCCTTGCTTGCCATTTACTTCTCAGCCGAGTGCCTACCTCGACTCCCTCCTCTCGGCTTTGATGGACGAGTCTGGGCTCACCTACCTCTCGGCCAGCTCGGTGTCAGGCTCTTTCATTGGCCTCTCTGCCCACCCACCACCTGCTGATATTCCCCGGAGCTCTAGCCTCTAGTGCTCATAAGCTTCCTGGGTAGGTGACCAGTCACATGGTTTCAACTGCTGCTAACCAGCTGGGGCCCTTAAATGTGCCTGTGTGATTCCTGTCTCTCCCCAGCACGCCCCAGGGGGCACTGGGCCTTCCACACTCAGCATGCCTGCACCTGAGCTTATGCTCTGATCGCCCCAGGGGTGCTCCGTGTCAACATTTTCCCCTAGACTTAGCCTCGTGGGTGATTTTCTTTTAAATTAATATATTTATTTTTGGCTGCGTTGGGTCTTCGTTGCTGTGCGCGGGCTTTCTCTAGTTGCGGCGAGCGGGGACTACTCTTGGTTGTGGTGCGCGGGCTTCTCACTGCAGTGGCTTCTCGTTGCGGAGCACGGACTCTAGGTGCGTGGGCTCAGTAGTTGTGGCACGCGGACTCAGTAGTTGTGGCTCACAGGCTTAGTTGCTCCGCGGCATGTGGGATCTTCGTGGACCAGGGCTCGAACCCGTGTCCCCTGCGTTGGCAGGCGGATTCTTAACCACTGTGCCACCAGGGAAGCGCTCGTGGGTGATTCTTGTCCTAGCACATCTTTACTCTGGTGGCTGCAGAATGATGAGCCCCATCTCCAGCGCTCCCTCCAGTGACCAGTCGGCCCTCGGCATCCTGGCTGTGAGGAGGCTTTCCTTTTCCTATTTATATGCCTGTTAATGGCACAGATGCGTGGATTCCTATTTCTAGAGGTCTGTAACATATCATTGTCCTAAATGAATTTGATGCTCAAAATGTCCCAGATTTGGCCAGTGAGAGCCCTACCCATCTGCTCCGTGTCCTGTGACATGTCATGCCCTGCATTTTCTTAGCACTGACTCCCTTCCTGGCATCACAAAATATTTCGGGATCACCTTGTACCCACCCTGCCTCAGCTCCAGGGTCAGCCATTTCTCTGAGGGGCGCTGGTTCCTTTTAGAGACCAAGATCTGGGCTCTAGGTGTGCTCATTGCTACTGGGGTGTCTTTGCTTCTTTGCCCTTTCAGTGAACAGGGCTGGGAAATGTGTGCATAGATAACACATGTATACGTACACACACACTAGGGCATGTACACATATATGTAACAGCACATACCTCATTGGGCTATAAGAGAATGAGATGCACATTTTAAAAAGCCAAAAAACAGTAACAACTCTTAGCCCAGTGCCTGGACATGGAACTCAGTTTAATTATCATCATCATCATCATCATTATTTTCATTATTATTGAAAACTATGGAATCCTTTGCTCATCCAACAGGGAAACTTTGATCCTCCACATGCCGTGCATGAAATCCATTTGGGGTCCAGAGCAAGGGGCCAGCTGACTCACCCCCTCACTCCAAGCTGGTGGACAGCGGCGCCAAGTGCACAGACTTCTACTCAAAACGTGATGCATGGATGTGCCCAGCAGCTGCGCCTTCGTACTGCAGAACGTCAGAGCCCTCCCCGAAGGCATCAAAGAGATGCTTTGCTGGAAAGGGAAACGCTCTGAGCAGAGGATCACGTGCAAGCGATACATGCTGCTCCTGCAGGAAGTGCTCTGCTGTATCTTTTCTTTCATATGTTATTCGGGTGTTGGCACAGCAAGGAAAGTACGGGGCCAGCCGCCACTTCAGGCTACTTGACACCGTGGACTCTGCCTTGCGGTTCCTGGGGAGGCCATTGTCTCACGTTACAGGACCACTATCTCCTCGCTGCATGGTCTTGGCCCCAGCATAGACGAGCCACAAGCAGCTCTGTGGTCAAGTCTGTGCTGTGAAGTGTCTCTTTCTCTCCTTTCCAGCCGAGGGTTCTGCTAGATTTTCATGGTTTAGATCAACTCCAGCTTCTACCTGGAGCGAGCTGTTTCCTAACCTGGTTAAAACAAGTGGGCTGCTATGTGTGACTCGCTGCAGAGAAGACAGTAGAAAACCTCGGCCCTGTTAGCCACGGACGGTCATGTGACTTGGGTACCAGAACTCGTGTCCTGTACCAAGAGGGACGAGAGTGACTGCAGCCAGGCTAGCCTCATCCTCCTCCATCTAACCCTCCTCTTGGTTCGCCGCTTGCATCGCACGAAATCTACTTTCTACTCTGGATTAGATCTTCACACCAATTCAGTTGAAACACATCTGTTTATGTTTCCTACGGGTTCAGAATTCTGCTTAGCATCCTCCTGACAAGCGTCCTTAGTGATTATCATACACAGTCTCCTCCGATCTTTATGCTCTTAAGCAAGACGTAATTACAGTTTATTGAGCACCTGTGTCCTGGGCCTTTTCCTTCGTTTCTCCACTATCCCCGACTACCACCTAAAAAACTAGCATCCTGCCAGATGTTAACAGGTGCTCCTGAGTGTTACGCAAACAGGTTTAGGACATGCCGGTTTGGGCCACGTGGCCAGCGTCCTTTCCTGCAGCCTCTCCGTATCTGCAGGTGTCCAAAGCACGCAGCGTCTCCTGGACCTTGTGCATGGCGCTCCCTTGCAGGTGGCATCTCAGGAGAAGCCAGCGTTCGTTGGGCCGGCGCTACCCTTATCTGGTCCATTCACCTTTCTCTGATGACCTGGGTAGGCCCGGCCCTTCCTGACTTCAAGGCTGTCACTGCCTCTCTGGCCAGCTCCACTTTCTTTGGGATTCTGGCCCTGCTCGCCTCCTAGTTTGGGCTCTTTCTTGCACCTTTCCTGGTTATTTCTTCCTTCCAGCCTCTGGGTTCTTACTTCTCATGGACCGTCTGTCTCCTGCCTCCTGGCCCTGCAAGTCACTCTGCCTTCCACTTGGAAGTTCCTCCACCTGCATCTTCCTGGGATGCTTCTTCTCATCCCTAAGATCCCCGCTGGGCAACCCCTACCACCAGGAGCCTTCCCAACCCTCACCCCCCATTCCCCGCCAGCCCCCTGGTCTCTCCGCATCATGATTCACATCATGCTGACTCTTTCTTTTCTGTTTGGAAAGGAACGCTCTTAATGGTGCAGCCTGCCGAGTTTCACAGGATGACCCTGAATTTTAACTTCTCAGCGGTTTGTCTCTCAGCCTAGGCAAGATCCACGGGAGCTTTCCTCACTTCGTGCTCACAGAACAACCCACGGGAATCGGGGAGGGGAGCGCTGCTTGGCCTTACACCAGCTCGGTGAACGCAGACTGGCTCAGTCCCAGGCCAGCACCAAAGACCCTTCTGGAAGCTCTGCGGGGGCTTCTCCCATTGTTCGTGGCTTGATTTTACGTGGGGGCCGTCCGCCTCTTAGGCCTTGATCTCAAAGGGCCCTTTTACTGGGGACTGAGGGCCAGAGAGGACGGGTATTGACCCAAACGCTCTCCCAGTTTAATGAAAACGTCTGGATTCAGGGCCCAATTCTGATACCCAGTCTGGCCCCCCGTGACCATAGCCCTGCCTCGTTAGGGTGAGGCCCACGGGGCAGGAGTGTTCTGAGTGGCCTCTCCACAAAGCCGCTGGGGCCCCGTGAACACAGGTAGCTTCGCCGAGCCTGGTTCTGTCCTGTGGGGTTTAGGGACGAGCCCCACAGAACCGCTTGTTCGTGACTCTGAGCAAAGTGAAGTCGGGGTCTCCGGGAACCGCTGTGTGATTTGCCCTTCATCTTGGCTGCCAGGAAGCCCAGAGAAAGGGGCACACTTCCTCATGTGACTTGTTAATCCTGCTTTGCGCTTTTATTTTTGTTAATAGACTTATTTTCTTAGAACAGTTTTAGGTTTACAATAAATTGAGGGGTTGGCCCAAGGATTTCCCATAACCCCTGCGCCTACACCTGCATAGCCTCCCCCGTTATCAACATCCGCCACCAGAGCTCGGGGGGTAACCGACGAACCTACATCGACACATCATCACCCAGAGTCCGCAGTGTACATTAGGGTTCACTCTTGGTGTTTTACGTTCTATGGCTTTGGATAAATGTGTAATGTCATGTATCCGCCATTATAGTATCATGCAGAGAGGTTTCACTTCCCTAAAAATCCTCTGTTTTCTGTCTATTCACCACCACTTCCCCCCAACCCCTGGCCACCCCTGATCTTTCTGCCACTGCCTACTGTCTCCATAGCTCTGCCTGTTCCAAAATGTCACAGAGTTGGAATCATACAATGTATAGCCTGTACTTTCCACTTTTAATCGTGTTTTGTTTTTTTCTTTAATAAATTTATTTATCTTTGGCTGCGTTGACTTTGTTGCTGCACACGGGCTTTCTCTAGTTGCGGCGAGCAGGGGCTACTCTTTGTTGCGGTGCGCGGGCTTCTCATTGCGGTGGCTTCTCTTTGTTTCGGCGCATGGGCTCTAGGCACGCGGGCTTCAGTAGTTGTGGCTCTTGGGCTCTAGAGCGCAGGCTCAGTAGTTGTGGCGCACAGGCTTAGTTGCTCCGCGGCATGTGGGATCTTCCCAGACCAGGGCTCAAACCCATGTCCCCTGCACTGGCAGGCAGATTCTTAAGCACTGTGCCACCGGGGTAGTCCCTTAATCGTGTTTTTTGACCCTTTATCCTGTTTTATCATTACCATAGTATATATTAGAATTTATAAGCTCATTCACTTTTTTTTTTTTAAAGAGGAAGTTTGTGAATAAAATAGGGACAAAACTGTAAAAATTGCCTGAATACTTGGTCCATTGTTGGGCCTATCAGACACTTGCTTTTGTGTCTCTTAGGAGTGCTGTAACGCTTTCTTTGTGACTATTTGAAAAGGGAAGTGGAACCGTCTACTGCAGAGCACACAGCACTGAAGAGATGCGGGGTGACTTCCCGGGGGGGGCTCTGAGATTTAGCAATCTGTGGTAACGCCGCTTCTGACCCCAGCCTCTTGTTAGGACAGGAGGGCCTGGGACGGCCATGACACTGTGGAAACGACCTTGCAGCTCCTTCTGCTGTGGGTTAAGCTTCCTGAGATGGGTTGACAGGACAGAGAAGTCCTTTCTCAAAGTGCCCTGGGAGCAGTCTTCACAATTTCAAATTCTGTCCCCTCTCTGCCTTACTAGATTTTGCTGGAAGCCCTGTGGTTTGAGGGCGGAGGGGGGACACCCTCTGAAAACCTGTGGGCACTGGCCAGAGAATGGCATTTCTTGAAGGAATAGACGTTACAGATGATGTGGAAATAAGACCGCAGTTTTTGTCACTGTCATTAAAATGGTGATATGATTCTGAGAACTCTCAGCAGAGAGCTTGTTTTGAGAACCATCCAGAGACAGGGAAGTGGCCCCTGCTTCCCTTGCTGCCCCGCCTTTGCAAGGGCCACGTGCTCCACAGGCTGACCTCAGCCTTTGGACGCTGGTGGGCTCTGCAGGGTGAGTGGTTTGTGCAGGCCAGCCTGTCTGCTTCAGCGCCATCTCCCCAGACATCAGCAGAACGTGGTCCCTCTAATAAGGTCACCCTGTATCGAAGGAGCATCAGGGGTGGAGCCCTCCTTTCAGCAGCCAAATGGGCCTGACACCACCACAGGGCGTGTTTGGGTAGGTTGTGCTGCCGGCGAGGGTTCCAACAGCATCTGTCAGAGCCAGATCGTACCTTTCCTGTTCCCTTCACTCTTTAAGCCAGTCTCTACCAGAGGCATCGTGTGTCCCCCATCTGAAGGCTCACTGATCATCTTCTAGGAATCAAAGCTGTGTCTCAGTCTGTTTTCTGAATCAGGAGTGAAGATACACCCCCTGTTGAGAATGCTGGACTTGATGAATCAGCCCTCTCCATGTGAAAAACTGTCATTTCTTTGCAGGGAAAGGTGCATGTCTGGCAAAAGCTTATGTATCTGTATCGCCCAGAACCTCGAGGGAAGTGGTTCTTATTACCTGTGGGCCTTGGCCCCTCTGTGAAGCTAATATAAGCTACAGATGTTCTTCCCAGAAAAGTACAGAGGGAGCCCCAAGTGCAAAGTCGGTGGAGTCCCTTCCACGGCCCCAGGTTAAACAGCCCCCATCTGAGCCTGCGTTCGCCAAACTCAGGGGCGCCCGAATGGATTGCGAAAGGAGGAAGCCTTGCATTTCAATGTTTGCTTTTTCACTCTGTGTCTGCTCCCTATATGCTCAATACCTATTTAAAGAATAGGTATTCTTTAAATAGATCTATTTGTCTTAGTCTGCTCAGGCTACTGTAACAAAAAATACCACAGACTGGGCGGTTTAAATGACAGAAATTTATTCCTCACAGTTCTGAAGGCGGGAAGTCCAAAGTCAAGGTGGCAACCAGTTGAGTTCCTGGTGAGACTGTCTTGCCTACTCGCTGTGTCTTCGCATGATGGAGAGAGAGCGGGCTAGAGAGAGAGAGAGAGAGAGAGAGAGAGAGAGAGAGAGAGGAAGCAGGCTCTGCGGTCTGTTGCTTCTGTTTCTGTGGAGAACCCTGACTTACATAGACAGCAAAGAGAAACATGGGAAGCAGCCCCCTTGGGAAGGAATTCACTGAAGTGAGTCTCGGCAAATGTGCGGGGGCAGAGCTGGGCCTCACGTCCTTTCATCTGCTTTACTCACTTTATGAACTCCTCGGCCTGCCCAGATGGCGTCAGCTCTTCCCGGGCACGTAGACGCAGTTGACTCAGGTTGGCACCAAATCCATCCACACCTGTAAAGTATCTGCCCGTTGACGGCCGCTAACATCTTAGCGTGGTACCCCTCCCTCAGGCGTCGGGTGCCACCTTCCCCGCGCACTCGAGGGGGACAGTTGTGGGTCTGCTCGGCGGTGCCAGGGCACTCCCTCAGAGGCTGCGGGCCCCCACGGGGATGGCAGATGCCAGATGTCACAGCCAGGGAAACACCTTGCTGAAGTTCAGATGTGCAGTGGATGGACCCCGGGTCTGGGGAGCCTACCGAAACAGAAGTTCAGGGGGTGTGTCGTGGGGACGAGGCGACTTTGACTCTGGGTTGAAATATAAGGAAGCAAGGAGCTAGTCCAAGTCACCAAATATGTCTTGGAGGCAGCCAGTCAGTTCCCAGGGAGCGGAACCCAAACCTCAAGTAAATAGCCCTTGCCTGTTCCTTAGATAAGTACAGGTTCTGGGTGAAGAGGATGAGGCTACATGCAAATACTGACCCTGGCTGGTGGGTGTCTTATGTAATTGGCCCTGTTAAACTTTCCAAGCAATTATTGCTTATAACTTTACCTGTAGCTTTACCTTTAGCTTTCAAAGGTTGGGTCTGGACATGGCTACAGACAGAAAATGTGATGTGGGTGGTGTGTTGGAAAAACTCCCATTTCCCACTTCTCCCTTATGTTCACACACAACTCTTCACTCTGATGCTTCTGCCACCAGATGTGTGGGAGTTGCCCCCAACCGAGCATTCTCCGTGACACCAGCTGGATGTCCTACAACTGAACTCAATTCTGACACTGCCTACCCGGAGATGGCGTCAGATCCCACAGGTGAAGGGCTCAGTCCCACAAGGCTGCCCCCCTCAACTTCAGACGCCGAAAATCGAAGGAGGTGGGTCCCCACATTACCCACCACTCGGTCCATTTTGCGTGTAAACTGGCGTCATATGTACTTATTTATAAATATTTCTTGCCTATATTTATTTACAAATATTATTTATATTTATCGTTGAAATTTTAAAACTACAGAAAAGCACAAGGAACAATACAAAAGCTCGTATTCCTACTACCCAGTATTTCCGACTGTTCACATTTTGTCACTTCCCGATCCCCTTCCAGTTTCTTAGAATAAATAAGTTAGGTATTCTGGCTTCCCCTTAGGACACAGAAGGCTGGAAGGAGGCACACTGCCATCCTAACAAGAGAAATCTAGAAAGTCTACAAAATGATTCCAAGCCCATCAAGGAACGGAGCTTAGAGGGTGACAGCCTCGCCTGAAATCTAAGAAAGACAGGTCTCCAGGGAGAGCAAGAGACGGGGTCGCAGGGCAGAGCCGGGGAGGAGATGGGCCGCGGTCCCGGTGGGTCAGGAGACTCCGCTGGAACTTCTAGCCACGTGCTGCAGGCGCAGCGCAGGCAGGTGGAGGGGAGAGAACCGCTGGTGCTGAGACTCGACGGGTCCTCCCCAGGGACCTCCCCGTGCGCTCACAGGAAGAGTGGAGGCAGGCAGGAAGGGCAGAGAAAGCTTCCTTGAAACCCACAAACCTCTCCTGACAGAACAAAAGCCTGCGGCCACTGTGGAAAGAACTACAAAGCCTGTCACCCCCGGGGCACAGGTGGAGACTCATTGAGGCTGGAGGAGCAGATACCCTCTGCCCCTCGTGGGGAGGTAGAGGCCGTCAGAGATCTCCTACCACTGGGAAGGGCAGGGCCACGAGAAAACCCCACCCTGAGATGCAGGGACATGGCGACTGAAGCCCAAACCCAGCAACAGAGAACCCCTCTCCCCATAGCCTGGTGCCCCAGCCCAGCCCAGCCCAGGCTGGAAAGTGTCCAGTAACAGCGGTCCACTGCTGCGGCGGGGGGAGGGAGCCCCGCTCTGAGGGGCAGGCTCATCAAGAAATCCCAAGAACAAGAACGTTGAGAAAAGTTCTTTGGCCCCCACCGCTCACGATTGAATTACCCTCCCTGAGGTCCACCAGCTGGGTTTCCTTCTCGCCCGTGGCCACACTGCTGCATGAATCATTCGATGCTGGGAGGTGTCTCGTTGTCGATCCATCCACAGGTTTTTGTCTGTTCTGAATAAGCTGACATGAACTTGCACAGACAAGTCTCGGTGTGGACACGTGTTTCCATTTCTCTTGTAAATACCCAGGAGCAGGGTTGCTGAGTCTTAGAGCATGGGCATCTTTAAGGAGACCACCGAACTGTTTTCCAAATAAAGCTGTCCCTCACATTCACCAGCGGCAACGACCCGAGTCCCAGTTACTTTGCATCCCTGTCAATATTTGGTATTGTTGGTCTCTCTGATTTTAACCACTTAAATGGGTGTGTGACGGTATCTCACAGTGGTTTTAATTTGCATTTTCCTAGTGACTAATGATACTGAGCATCTGTTCGTTGGCTTGTTCCCTGTATTTCTTCTTTGCCGAAATGTCTGCTCAAGTCACTTGCCCATTTTTTTAAAAGTTCAGGTTGCCTTCTTGTTAAAGGGTTGTAAGCATTCTTTATATAATCTGGATACAAGTCCTTGGTTGGATATATGTGTTGCAAATATTTTCTCCCAGTCCAGGCCTTGCTTTTAAACTTTTTTTTTTTTTTTTTTTTTGGCCACACCGTGCAGCATGCAGGATCTTAGTTTCCCGACCAG